ACTGTATTTGATCTTAATTTTACTATTCATATCTTTACATTTTGCATTTTGTATGTAAAATCATTATTACTCGGATTAATTTAAAGTTTACGTCTCACCTGGAGTTCTTTTCAGTTTTCATTATAAATAGTTCGCAGAAATTTTGAAAGGACAGTAGGGTAAAAAGTCACTAGAGAGTCACCAGACAATCAGCATGTAGGGACAGTAACATCATAGTCACTTAGGTGACCATCCAGTAACGACAGTAAGTGAATACCAGGAACAGAGTACCTACAAGCCAAGTAGGAGAAAAGAAGTCAGCTTCACAACTGTGACCAAACAGTTAGCTCTTCAGTATCCCACTGGCGCAGCAACTCAGGATATTCATTAGCTGTCAAGGATGTGGTTTCAGACCTAACAACTTGAACAGACTCAAACTTCATTATACAACAACAAGTGCAGTTACAGTTAACAACAGTGTGGAAGGCGTTTGGAGTGAACCTACAGAGTAACTTCTGTATCTAGTCTTGGCTATGCAACCAATTTTCAGTTATCACAAGATTGGACACCAATCGACTGGATTCATTGTACGCCTCAACCAGACAACATGGGACAGACTAACAGCTCAACGGATCATAAACTTCAACTCAAGATACCATTTCAACTCAGTGACTCTAACATCTGGACAACTTCGGACAATTCAATTCAACCAGTCCTACTCAGAACATTTCGATAAGTGATTTAGACATTCTCAACCTTAAAATCAGATTATTCTACAAAAGTGTATTTCGGACAATTTCAGCTGACAATTCATCAAAGTGATTAGTCAATTCTTAAGAACAGTGACATTTATTATCTATAGTGCATTTGTTTTAATTATTTGGATTTATCTTTGGCATATATTGTTATTTATTAAATTGTTAAATGTTTTAGAGTATTAACTTTGCCACTTGTTTGTCATAAGTCTATTTATAGACTGACCCCCTGTCCCTTGGGTCAAGCATGCATAGTTAGTCCCCCCTAGCAAAAAAGCATGCCACACTGGCCCTCAGTGACACATCACTTTTCCAAAAAAGAAAATTAACACTAGGGAACGAAAAATTGTCCCTTTTGTCATAAATTTTAGTGTAGAGTTTCTCGTGTAAAACTGAAATATCTACCGGTAAATCTAGGAAAGGACATTTATTACCATTTATATTTGATTTCTTTAAAGTAAGTTCCTTTGTGTAAATTTCAGCAGTATATTTCGAAAATATTCAACGAAAAAAAATATCGTCAAGATAACAATAAGTGTTGTTGAATTTGAAAATATTCAACGAAAAAATATCGTCAAGATAACAATAAGTGTTGTTGAATTTGAAAATATTCAACGAAAAAATATTGTCAAGATAACAATAAGTGTTGTTGAATTTATCAATTAAATGCAATTCAGATGTGTCTTTACTGGCCATAAACTGTAATTCATAACAGTACAAGAACAAGTCTGCTATTAAAGGGGCGCAATTGGTGCCCATAGAGATACCTACAACCTGTCGATAAACTTTATTGCCGTTAGGTACTTTCATATCATCAAGGAGAAAATTAACAGCTTCAATCATCTCATCACACCTCCAGTAAGTATATCTAGCATATTTATCTTTCTCATTAGAGAAGAAGGCTTCAAATATATTTGCATTCAGATTTACCAAACCACCATTTAATTAATTAGGAAATTTTTTGTTTGATAAAATTGTGTGGAAGTATAGTGTAAAGAGTTGAAAAGTCAAAACTGTCAACAGAATCAAGAGGACCATCAAAGGCATGTTATTTATCTAAAACATCCAAAGAATTTTTTACACTCCAAAAATGGTCAATTCCACTTTTTTCATATGTTTTATTACAAAAGTTAATAATAAGTTCTTTGATAGTAGTTAAGGAACTAGTTAAAAGCACTGAAAGATTAGTTGTAGAACACTTACTATAGGCCGAGATGAAACGATATTTTACTGGTTTTTTGTGTAGTTTAGGTAACCAATACATAGTAGGGACCTTCAAAGGTTCAGAAGAGGCCTTAAGCTGTGATGTGGTTATGATATGATTGTTTACTATATGACTCTTTGTGGAGCGCACAGACTTGAATGTAGAAGAATTTACAATTTCATTCTTAAGAATGTCCTTGTAGTATTTACGGCATACCACCACCACATTGTTGGCTGCTTTGTCGGCCGGTACAAACACAAACGGCTTTGCAATTACTTGAAGTTTGTTTCTTATTCTAGAAATAGGCGTATTATGTACTCTTTTATTTATTTCTTAATTATTTTCAAAATATGATATTGGAATATCGACAACAATCATACATTTATTTAAATAAGAATCAAGAGATTTTTTATCAGATTTTTCCTGTTTGCACCAATTTTTTAGGTAACCAATATATAGTAGGGACCTTCAAATGTTCAGATTCCTTAAGTTATTTTTTAACAATTAACAGGTGCAATAAAATGCTCCGCTGGGCGCAGCTTGATACGACCTCAGAGGTCGAACCCTGAACAGTTGGGGCAAGTATGGACACAACATTCAAGCTTGATACAGCACTGAATTTGGATTGTGATTAAATATTTGACACATCATAGGTTTCTGACACAGAATAAATGTGGTCTAAGAATTTAAATTTTTTTAATTTACCTATTCAAACCATATCATTATCATTTGCTTTTATATATAAATCAGAAATAACCAATTTAAAATGGAAAATTTTAAAGAAAAAAAAACTCCCCCCCCCCCCCCCAATTTTTTTGAATCCCCTTATGATTCATCACCCCCAAACTCAATCCCAGCCTTCCCTTTGTGTTATGGTACCTTGCAGTACAATTTCAGAGAGATCCATACACTTGAACACAAGTTATTGTCTGGAAACTAGAAAAATGCTTGTTTTTGGCCCCTTTTTGGCCCCAAATTCCTCAATGTTTAGGGCAATTACCCCTAAACTCAAACCCAGCTTTCCCTTTGTGATATGGAACCTTGTAGTACAATTTCATAAAGATCCATACACTTAATTACACATAAGTTATTGTCCTGAAACTAGAAAAATGCTTGTTTTTTGCCCCTTTTTGGCCCCTAATTCCTAAACTTTTGAGGCAATTACCCCCAACATCAATCCAAGCCTTCCCTTTGTAGTATGGTACCTTGCAGTACAAATTCAGAGAGATCCATACACTTGAACACAAGTGATTGTCTGGAAACTAGAAAAAATGCTTATTTTTGGCCCTTTTTTGGCCCCTTATTCCTAAACGTTTTGGTCAATTACCCCCAAACTCAATTCCAGCTTTCCCTTTGTGATATGGAACCTTGTAGCACAATTTCAGAAAGATCCATACTCTTACACACAAGTTATTGTCATGAAACTAGAAAAATGCTTGTTTTTGCCCCTTTTTGGCCCCTAATTCCTAAAATTTGGAGACAATTACCCCCAAAATCAATCCCAGCATTCCCTTTGTGATATGGAACCTTGTGGTACAATGTCAGAGAGATCCATACACTAACACACAAGTTATGTCTGGAAGTTACAAAAATGCTTATTTATGCCCCCTAATTTTTGGCCCCTAATTCCGTAACTGTTGGTACCATAACCCCCAAAATCAATCCCAACCTTCCTTTTGTGGTATTGAACCTTATGGTAAAATTTCATAGAGATCCATGCACTTAAACTAAAGTTAGAGTGCGAAAACCAATGTGTCTTCGGATGACGATGACGACGCCGGACGACTACGACGACGACAACGCCAATGTCATACCAATAGACGACTGCAAATTTTTTTTGCAGTCGTATAAAAATTGTAATTCATTTTTAATTTTTATCAAGAAGTAAATTTTAGTTGTCACATATACTCAGCTTTTAATATCATGATCTATCTGGGCATCCAGGTCCCTATCATCAAAATTTCTATTACTTGCCATAAACAATATATATCTTTCCAAACTTGGTTTGATAATGAACATATTGATTTACAGGTCACAAGGTAAAAAGAAAACGTTAGAGCAGCAATTGAAAGACTGAAATTGAGTCCATATTATGGTCTCCAAATGACATATTCTAATCATGTGTCCAACCTTGACTAAACTTGGCTCCAAAATTCTTTTGGTTAAGTACAAGACGCCTAATGATCAAAGTTTGAGTGGTGGGGTCTAAATTTCTGTATTCTTTAATTTTACCATTTTTCTCTACATATTCTTTTCTTTTCTTTTGCCCATCCTTAATATTGTAGCACTCAAGAATTCTCCTCTACTTTTAACTCATTTTTCTCTATTCTTTATTTTCTTTTGCCCATTATTCAAAATTCTGTAAACCCCATCCAGACAATCTTTTAATTTTGGGTCATCAGGTCAAGGGTAAAAGGTCACAGTGCCTAGAAATAGACTGACTTTTGGGAACAATGTCTGTAAAGCAATACATCAGATCTCTATCAATCTTTGGTGGATAATGCACCTCTTGGTAAAAGATCCATATCCAATTTGAGTTTACCGCATCAAAGGTCAAAGTTCAGCAGTAATCATTAGACTGATATTTGAGCAGTTTTGGGATTTTTCGGGCAATTACTTTTGAAACAAATATTCCATGTTAGTTTGATAATGTCCTTTTTAAAAGAAAAAAATATGGGGTAAAGTTTTGTTAGCATGCCCCTAAACCCCAATGTCAGCACCTTAATTTGACACATTTAGCAACAATCTTCACCATCAAAGCCAACCTCCCCCCCCCCCCCCCCAAAAAAAAAAAAAAAAAAAATTATTCCCTTTCTACAAATGCAAAATGCATAAAAATTGCAAAAAAACTGGATAATCACTAAGTACATCAAAAGTGCAAGCTTATGTTTAAAAATTTTGACAATTCTGTTTTATAAATATTTTTTTTAAACTTTATTGATGGTTAATGCGATTGGGATACATAATATCTGAAGACATATTACAATACAGCAGAAACCATTCATCTTTTAACCAAATTCCATACCAATCCAAACTATGAGGGTTTTAGACTGTTTACTTACCAAGGGATCACCTATTGCTGAATCAAACCCAGCTGATACCAAAACCAACTCTGGAGAATACTGAAAAGAATCAACATTAATATACATTAACTTTGATTAATTGAACTATAGTAGTCCAATACACTCCAGTCATACATTCTATTAAAGTATAGTTTATCGCTGTACATTGTATTATCAGAATTCCTAATTGTGAAGTGCCAATTAAACTCTTGGAAGATGAATGTCACTGTACTCGATATGCATTTATATGCACCATCAGAGTAAGAAATTTTAATATATTTGTTAAACCATAATAATGCCAAATTTTCTACTACATATGAGTTTTGATCCCTGGGATCTTCTCCCCATTCTTTTGTATATGATTCAAAAGATTAAGTTAAAAGTCATAGAATCCTTTAAATTAAGCAAACTACAGGCTCTCAAGAGCCTGTGTCGCTCACCTGATTCTACTTTGGTTTTGGAAATCATGTAAAAATGGATTAAAATCATAACAGATACCCTAATAATGATTGAGGCCAAATTTGGTTTAATATTGGCCCCGTAATTTAATGAAAAGCAGAAAACTTTTGTAAAGTTTACAGAAATTACCAATCAATTCATTGAAATTGTAGAAAATGACTTTATAAGGACAATGACAAATCAGCTACAAAGTAACAACACTTGGTCAGCACCTCAAAAAAAACATTCATACCATGTTTGGTTTTAATCCATTAAGCGGTTTTCTAGAAGAAGACTTTTGTATGTATTTCACATAGGGTCCTTTGTTAAACTAAGTTCGCCGCTGGCAGCCATCTTAAATGATTGATTGGCTACAAAGTTACAACACTTGGTCATCACCTCATTAGGAACATTCATGCCATGTTTGATTTCATTCCATTAAGTGGATCTCTAAAAGAAGACATTTGTATGTATTTCTCATAGGGTCCTATGTTAAACTAAGTCCCTGCTGGCTGCCATCTTGGATGATTGATCCCCTACAAAGTAACAACACTTGGTCAGCACCTCATAAGGAACATTCATGCCATATTTGATTTCATTCCATTCAGTGGTTCTCTAAAAGAAGACATTTGTATGTAGTTGTCTATAGGGTCCTATGTTAAACGAAGTCCCCCGCTGGCGGCCATCTTGGATGATATATCGGCTACAAAGTAACAACACTTGGTCAGCACCTCATAAGGAACATTCTTGCTATGTTTTATTTCATTCCATTTAGTGGTTCTCTAAAAGAAGACATTCGTATGTATTGTCCATAGGGTCCTATGTTAAATGAATTCCCCTGCTGGCGGCCATCTTGGATGATGGATCAGCTACAAAGTAACAACACTTGGTCAGCACCTCATAAGTAATATTCATGCAATGTTTGGTTTCATTCCATTCAGTGGTTCTCTAGAAGAAGTTCAAAATGTAAAAGGTTAACGACGATGATGGACAACTACGACGGACGACAGACGCCAAGTGATGAGAAAAGCTCACTTTGCCCTTCAGGCCAGGTGAACTAAAAAGATGAATATCTTTTATATAACTGAATGGCTATTAAAGTTTTACTATAAAACAAAAAAACAAAGACTTTCTTTTAAAAAAAGATTCTTTATTATTTTTATCCAAATCTTCAGGAAATGTACTGCTATTGGATTATTGTCTCCCTGTACTCTTATTTGCCAATAATTTTTTCGTATGCAGTGACCTTAAAATGCCATATCTCGTTTTAAATTCGTCAATCACACTATGAAAGTGCATATATATATAGGGAATAACCTTGATGGAAGAAAAAGTAAGCAAATGTGAAAGAATGAAAGTGTAAATTGATTCTAAAAGAAAAAAATCAATACATTAAATTATTTAACAACTGCTATGACAAGTTTAATTAACAAATGGGAAAGCATGGAAAATATCTTTTTTTTTTTAAACACTTATTACACACCTGCTCACCTGAACATTCATGATCTATGTTGATTATTTATCAAGGTCACTATCGGTAAACACTGGCACCAAACACCAAAAGTTAATTAGCAGCCAAAGTTTTCAATTATCAATCATGGAATAAAATATTTTTTGTTGATTTTACGTAACTGATTTGAAATAAATGTAAAAAAAAAAAAAAGCACAGATGACTTAGTTAAGTATATATGCTTGCTTACGTTCAATAATTTTCTGAACATTATAATCACCAAAAACCTGTTTCATATGACTTTAAGCAATATGTAAGTTATCATTGGAAAAGCTAAAAAATGCACACTTTAAGGGATATAAGACCTTAATCATATATGTCAATCTACCAAAAATATACCTATACCACATCTTCTTATTTTTTTACTAACCTGAATTTTATAACCCATGGATATATTGTGATAGAAAGGTGTTTGCTATCTGTACAGACACTAACATTTAAATGTCACTGCATGGTTGCAAAAACTAATTCAAACTGTTTTAAAGTAAGAAAATGGCATTTCAAAAATATAATTGCAGTCAACTTAACCACAAAATAAACAAACTTAGAGAAATGCATAAAAATTTGTAAAGGATTGTCTGTGTAAAAGTGGAATGTTGACTGTTTATCAGTAAAATACAGACTTGTTTTGAAACTCAAACTTTTTTCTTTCCATGCTATTTCTTCATCTTGAAGATTAATTTAGCTTCTGTCCAAGTTTCATAACAATCCATGAAGGTTTACAAACTTATCATGTCAAAAAAATTTAATCCCATACTGTATGTAGGAAGGTTAAGATGGCTGCCAATGGAGTAGTGAGTTGATTTTCAGCTCTGCAGTTTTTGGCAATTTAAAGCTGGTTTTTGAAGGAATTTATTAATGGAAATCATATCATGATGTTTGGAATTTGATGAACTTTACAGGAATATGATTTTCTTCACATTTTGTTGAAAGATGGATTTACTATAGTGGAATTATATATTTTGGATTGGAAAAGTATTTGTGATTTATTGATTTTTCTGAGCTGTGTTGTCTGTATTACAACCATGCCTGGGGATAATAAAAGTGTAAAAACTGTACAAACTATGTTAGCAGCTAAAAAGCCTGGGAGCAATGATTCTTCTAAAGACTCTACAAAGGAAAAACCACCCAAGCAGAACAAACGATCCCATTCAGATGTTGCAAATGAGAGTGTAGAAGGAACTGACTTGACTGGTATTCAAAATGATTTAAGTGAAATTAAAAAATCTCTTCAGGGTACAGTTACAAAGACTGATCTTAATAGTGCTATGGTTAATTTAATACAACAAAAGGACTTAAAAAGTTTAGTTAGTGACATTGTCCAGAAATTATTAGATCATTTTGAAGAGAAGATCACCAGTAAGTTTGAGTGTAAAATAAGGGAGGCAACTGGAAAACTTGATGATAAGTTAGATACATTGATGATAGAGAATGAGAATCTGAGGGAAGGAATCAGGGCAAAAGATAAAGTTATTGATAACTTAGTGGAAAAGGTTGGTGACATTAATAACAGATCTATTGATGCAATGAAGTTAGCCAATTACAATGAGCAATACAGTCGTAAACATAACATAAGAATGCTAAACTTTCCTGAAAAAAGGGGTTAGAACTTGAAAAAAGCCTTTGTTGAACTAGTAAATAGTGACCTAAATGTAAATATTGAGCCCAGTGATGTGCTAGCCATCCACAGAATACCTGGAAAAGAAGGTTACCAGAAGCCTGTTATCGTGAAGGTTAGAAACACTGACACTAAAATACGGATAATGCGACAAAAAAGATCCTTGAAAAATGAACTTAAATTTCATGATGATATAACACAACGCAATATTGGACTTATGGCAAGACTTAAGAACACTGAAAAATTTGAAAATGTATGGTTTTACAACTGTAACGTGTATGCCAAAACTGAAACTAGTAGCAGAATAAGATTTGACCTGTTTGACAATGTAGATGAAAAAATGAAAAAGAAATTGAAAGAGGGAACTTAATCAATCTTGTTTTGTCAGTTACATCATTTAATTTATTTTTGAATAATGTCCAGCTTTTTATTAATTTCAATAGATAGATATAAATGTAAAAGATAATTGCTGAAGTAAAAAGTGTTTTATATCAGTTGTGAATTACATATTCCTATATAAATAGTTAAGAATATAAGAGATATTCATTCTTGATAAATTTGTTTAAAATAAATTATACTGTCACTATACAGTAAAGGGGAAATAACTCTAACATTAATAATGATATAAATATTCAATTTTATCTCCCTTTTAAACATCTATTCCTTTGATAGATTTATGTATAATTGTTACATGCCATACTGTAAATTAATTAATACATTCAATGTTGAATGAAGAAAATAATAAGCGACATCTTATGTTTGTATGTGTGTATGTTTGTGTATGTCAAATTTGTTACAATTGTATATTTGTACTTATGAACTTACTTATATGGTTTATAAAACATCCCTTCATCTATAATCATGGATAATAATGTAACGATATTATCAATGAATGTGAGGGGACTTTTCTCAAATTCCAAAAAGAGGGCAGATGTATTTGATTGGGCTAAGAGTAAAAATACTTCGATAGTGTGTTTCCAGGAAACTCATAGTAAAAAAGACATTGAAAAAAACTGGGAGGATGAATGGGGAAGCACATGTTTTTTCAGTCATAAAGACAGTAAAAGTGCAGGTGTCTCTGTTATGTTTAAAAAGGGTCTGGATTTTGTTGTGCATAATTCTGTTACTGATGATAATGGTCGTTACATTGTTTTAGATGTATCAATTTTTTCACAAAGAAAGAGTTTTGCCTGTTTGTATGGTTATAATACAGATGAACCTGCATTCTTTGATATAATAATGCAGAACATTTTATCCTTTAAAAACACAAGTGTTTTATTATGTGGTGACTGGAATGTTGTTTTAGATAAATTTATGGATACATATAATATCAAACATAATAGAAACCCTAACTCCCGTAAAAAACTTGATGAAATCATTGATGTTTTTGAACTACTTGATCCTTGGCGTACATGCTATCCAGAAGATAGGAAATATACTTGGCGTCAGTCCTCACCTATAAAACAAAGTCGTTTAGATTATTTTTTAATTTCAGAAGACCTTTTTTCACTAATGAAAAATACTAAAATTATACCAGGTTATAGAACTGACCACTCAGCAATTATTTTCACCTTCTCAGCTTGTTTAGAGAAACGGGGCAAAAGTTACTGGAAATTTAACTCTCAATTACTCAGAGATGCAGATTATATACAAAAGGTTAAATTATGCATTAAGGATACTATTTTGGAATACTATCTGTCAGGTGATATGGAAGATCTTCTTTCTGTTGATTTGTCATGTAATGATCAAACATTTTTTGAAATATTGAAAATGAAGATTAGATCTTTGTCCATAAATTACAGCATAAATAAATCCAAGGAGGAAAAAAATTTCACCCTCAAACTTGAAAATAATATTTTACATTTAGAAACTATTATGAACCATTCTCCAAATGAGGAGGTTCAAAAATCTTTACTTGATAAAAAACTTGAACTAGAAAATTGTCGACAAAAGAAGGTTGAAGGTTTGCTGCTTAGATCCCGCTCTTACTGGCATGAGAATGGTGAAAAATGTTCAAATTATTTTTGTAAATTAGAAAAGAAAAATTTTATAAAGAAAACAATAACAGAACTAATAGATGATAAAGGTCAACATATATCAGAGCAATCAAAAATTCTAACGGAACAACAAAATTTTTATAGAAATTTATACTCAAGCAAAAAATTAGATTGTGATGATTCATCATTTTTTAATCATAACATTAAGCTCACAGAAGAACAAAGAGATTTTTGTGAGGGAAATTTAACTTTTAAAGAGTGTGCTGATTCGTTAAAATTTATGACAAATGGTAAAAGTCCAGGTTCTGATGGGTACACAGTAGACTTTTATAAATTTTTTTGGAAAGATATTGGTCCTTTCATCTTTCGGTCTCTTCATTTTGGATACGAGGTTGGAAAATTTTCTGATTTTCAGTATCAAAGTATAATTACATGCATTCCTAAGGAGGGGAAAGACAGACAGTATATAAGTAACTGGCGTCCTATTAGTCTTTTGAATACTGATATGAAAATAGCTTCTGCTGTTATAGCTAATAGACTTAAACCAGTTTTACCATTTGTCATAAGTGATACACAAAAAGGTTTCATCAAAGATAGATTTATGGGTGAGAACACACGCCTTTTATATGATTTAATGCACTATCTTGAAGAAAATAATAAGACAGGTCTTTTATTACTTGTTGATTTTGAAAAGGCCTTTGATTCCTTAGAATGGTTATTTTTAAAAAATTCTTTAAAAAGTTTTAATTTTGGGCCTTCAGTTTGTAAATGGTTTGAAACTTTATACTCAGGGGCATCAAGTTGTGTTATAAATAATGGACATACTTCTAAGTTTTTTCAATTGGAAAGAGGCTGCAGACAAGGAGATCCTCTTTCACCCTATTTATTTATAATTGGTGTTGAATTACTATCTTTAAAATTAAAAGATAATCCTGAAATAAGGGGAATAACTGTAAATGATAATGAATCACTTTTAAGCCAGTATGCAGATGACACATTCCTTATGTTAGATGGAAGGGAAATATCGTTGAGGGAAACACTTTCATGTTTTGAATCTTTTTATAAAATTTCAGGTTTAAAAATAAATGCTTCAAAGACAAAAGCACTATGGGTTGGAAACAAAAAGTATTCAGATATGATTCTTTGTCCTGACTTAAAACTTCATTGGTCACATTCAAATTTTAAACTTTTGGGGATTGAATTTTCTTTAGATTTAAACTGTATCACAGAAATTAATTTTGCCAAGAAGATTAAAGAAGTCTCTGCAATCCTGAAGAACTGGCAACATCGTAAACTAACATTATTGAGGAAAATTACAGTAGTTACTGTAAATTCAGAAATTATTGCGTGCATTTATTATTGCGATTTTGTCATTTTAGACTTAAATGCGATTTTAATTTTTACGAGTTTGAGAAAAATCCTGTTTAGTTCATATAAAATATTTCAAAATGCGAGTTTAAATTATTGCGTTTACAACTCTGTCGCATTTGTCGCAATAATAAAAACCTCGCAATAATTTCTGAATTTACAGTAAATCACTTGCTCTTTCGAAATTGGTACACTTAATGACTGCATTGCCAAACCTATCACAATCCAGGTTAACAGAGCTCACTTCATTATTTTATAATTTTATATGGAGTGGAAAACCAGACAGAATTAAGCGTAACACACTTATTGGTGATATTTCACAAGGTGGACTTAATATGGTACATCTTCATTCCTTTAATATCTATTTAAAAATTAGTTGGATAAAAAGACTGATGTCAAACCCAGTTGGTGGCTGGCAGCAGTTGTTACTGGCAGACCTTATACAGTATGGGGGTGAAAGGTTTTACATCTACAGAGAGAAAAGCTGATTGAGATTTCTAAAAAATGTAAAAATCCTTTCTGGAAGGATGTTTTACTATGCTTTTCTATCACAAAACCTAATACTGAGAATTCTGTCAGTGACATTTTATCATTAGATATTTTGAACTTTTCTTCTTTGGATGATTTCCCATATTATATTCAATGGAAACAAGGAGGTGTGCAGTCAGTAAGTGACCTAATTAATAAAGAAAATATGATTTTTTATAAATTTGAGCAATTTCAAGAAAGAGTAAAAATCAACAATTTTATCAAATATCATGGTCTGATTTCAAGAATCCCTCAGACTATGAAAAAATACCTTAAAGAGAACTGTTTAAAGCAAGATTTGGATAAGCCTGATAATGGTGATATTTTTTTAAAGAGAATTATAGGTAATGTGAAAGCCAAATTTGTATATAAAAATTTAGTAAATAAAGTTATTGAACTACCAACAGTCAAGTTTTCGAAATGGGAAGAACTGTTGATTATTGATACAACAGAATGGTCAGAATATTTCAGGATAACCAAAAAATCATGTAGAGATGTTTATTTAAGAACTTTTCAATACAAATTTTTGCATAGAATCATAGCAACTAATACCTTTTTATACAAAATTAAATTAAAAGACACCAAGATGTGTACTTTTTGTAAACTTGGTGAAGAAACCATTGAACACCTTTTTTTTTAATGCCCAATAACTTTTCAATTGTGGCAGTCTTTTTCAAATGCAGTAAAACTTTTTTTTGTAAACTTTGTTCTTAACAAAGAGAATGTGTTTCTTGGTTGCAAACATGAAAGTTTATTACTGAATCTGTTAGTCATAATTACAAAAAACTATATATACAAATGTAAATTAAATGAAACAAAACCAAATATGGTTGGGTTAAAGAATAGAATAAAGAAATACCAATTTCTTGAATATTATATTGCAAAGAAAAATAATAGAGTCCAAGTGTGTGAAAAATTTTGGTCTCCTTTACATGTAATATTTAATTAATTATTGTTTCATATAAGTGAGAGAATAAAATATCTATATATCATGAGCAAATATTTAGCCTTGAGTTTTTTTTGTTTTTTTTGTTTTTTCTTTAAAATATTTTGTTTTTAAAATATAAGTCAAGATACATCATGTACATATTGTAGCAAAGCAAATGAGTGAAGAGTATTTGTATTGTATGAGAGAAAGTCAGAGAGCGAGAGAATATAATGAAATAAAATTTATATGTAACCTTAAATACTACATGTATAATTATAAAAATCAACTTGTCAGTGATATATATTGTATACTGAATTATTTTTTATATGTAACCCCTTGATACCCTTGTCAGGTGGTAGTGTAGGGGTACATGTATATTAAATCCTGACTATTGAAAAACAAATAAAAGATAAAAAAAAAGAAAAAAAAAGAAAAAAAAAGAAAAAGTAAGCAAATGTGAAAGAATGAAAGTGTAAATTGATTCTAAAAGAAAAAAATCAATATATCAAATTATTTAACAACTGCTATGACAAGTTTAATTAACAAATGGGAAAGCATGGAAAATATCTTTTTTTTTTTTAAACACTTATTACACACCTGCTCACCTGAACATTCATGATCTATGTTGATTGTTTATCAAGGTCACTATCGGTAAACACTGGCACCAAACACCAAAAGTTAATTAGCAGCCAAAGTTTTCAATTATCAATCATGGAATAAAATATTTTTTGTTGATTTTACGTAACTGATTTGAAATAAATGTAAAAAAAAAAAAAAGCACAGATGACTTAGTTAAGTATATATGCTTGCTTACGTTCAATAATTTTCTGAACATTATAATCACCAAAAACCTGTTTCATATGACTTTAAGCAATATGTAAGTTATCATTGGAAAAGCTAAAAAATGCACACTTTAAGGGATATAAGACCTTAATCATATATGTCAATCTACCAAAAATATACCTATACCACATCTTCTTATTTTTTTACTAACCTGAATTTTATAACCCATGGATATATTGTGATAGAAAGGTGTTTGCTATCTGTACAGACACTAACATTTAAATGTCACTGCATGGTTGCAAAAACTAATTCAAACTGTTTTAAAGTAAGAAAATGGCATTTCAAAAATATAATTGCAGTCAACTTAACCACAAAATAAACAAACTTAGAGAAATGCATAAAAATTTGTAAAGGATTGTCTGTGTAAAAGTGGAATGTTGACTGTTTATCAGTAAAATACAGACTTTTTTTGAAACTCAAACTTTTTTCTTTCCATGCTATTTCTTCATCTTGAAGATTAATTTAGCTTCTGTCCAAGTTTCATAACAATCCATGAAGGTTTACAAACTTATCATGTCAAAAAAATTTAATCCCATACTGTATGTAGGAAGGTTAAGATGGCTGCCAATGGAGTAGTGAGTTGATTTTCAGCTCTGCAGTTTTTGGCAATTTAAAGCTGGTTTTTGAAGGAATTTATTAATGGAAATCATATCATGATGTTTGGAATTTGATGAACTTTACAGGAATATGATTTTCTTCACATTTTGTTGAAAGATGGATTTACTATAGTGGAATTATATATTTTGGATTGGAAAAGTATTTGTGATTTATTGATTTTTCTGAGCTGTGTTGTCTGTATTACAACCATGCCTGGGGATAATAAAAGTGTAAAAACTGTACAAACTATGTTAGCAGCTAAAAAGCCTGGGAGCAATGATTCTTCTAAAGACTCTACAAAGGAAAAACCACCCAAGCAGAACAAACGATCCCATTCAGATGTTGCAAATGAGAGTGTAGAAGGAACTGACTTGACTGGTATTCAAAATGATTTAAGTGAAATTAAAAAATCTCTTCAGGGTACAGTTACAAAGACTGATCTTAATAGTGCTATGGTTAATTTAGTACAACAAAAGGACTTAAAAAGTTTAGTTAGTGACATTGTCCAGAAATTATTAGATCATTTTGAAGAGAAGATCACCAGTAAGTTTGAGTGTAAAATAAGGGAGGCAACTGGAAAACTTGATGATAAGTTAGATACATTGATGATAGAGAATGAGAATCTGAGGGAAGGAATCAGGGCAAAAGATAAAGTTATTGATAACTTAGTGGAAAAGGTTGGTGACATTAATAACAGATCTATTGATGCAATGAAGTTAGCCAATTACAATGAGCAATACAGTCGTAAACATAACATAAGAATGCTAAACTTTCCTGAAAAAAGGGGTGAGAACTTGAAAAAAGCCTTTGTTGAACTAGTAAATAGTGACCTAAATGTAAATATTGAGCCCAGTGATGTGCTAGCCATCCACAGAATACCTGGAAAAGAAGGTTACCAGAAGCCTGTTATCGTGAAGGTTAGAAACACTGACACTAAAATACGGATAATGCGACAAAAAAGATCCTTGAAAAATGAACTTAAATTTCATGATGATATAACACAACGCAATATTGGACTTATGGCAAGACTTAAGAACACTGAAAAATTTGAAAATGTATGGTTTTACAACTGTAACGTGTATGCCAAAACTGAAACTAGTAGCAGAATAAGATTTGACCTGTTTGACAATGTAGATGAAAAAATGAAAAAGAAATTGAAAGAGGGAACTTAATCAATCTTGTTTTGTCAGTTACATCATTTAATTTATTTTTGAATAATGTCCAGCTTTTTATTAATTTCAATAGATAGATATAAATGTAAAAGATAATTGCTGAAGTAAAAAGTGTTTTATATCAGTTGTGAATTACATATTCCTATATAAATAGTTAAGAATATAAGAGATATTCATTCTTGATAAATTTGTTTAAAATAAATTATACTGTCACTATACAGTAAAGGGGAAATAACTCTAACATTAATAATGATATAAATATTCAATTTTATCTCCCTTTTAAACATCTATTCCTTTGATAGATTTATGTATAATTGTTACATGCCATACTGTAAATTAATTAATACATTCAATGTTGAATGAAGAAAATAATAAGCGACATCTTATGTTTGTATGTGTGTATGTTTGTGTATGTCAAATTTGTTACAATTGTATATTTGTACTTATGAACTTACTTATATGGTTTATAAAACATCCCTTCATCTATAATCATGGATAATAATGTAACGATATTATCAATGAATGTGAGGGGACTTTTCTCAAATTCCAAAAAGAGGGCAGATGTATTTGATTGGGCTAAGAGTAAAAATACTTCGATAGTGTGTTTCCAGGAAACTCATAGTAAAAAAGACATTGAAAAAAACTGGGAGGATGAATGGGGAAGCACATGTTTTTTCAGTCATAAAGACAGTAAAAGTGCAGGTGTCTCTGTTATGTTTAAAAAGGGTCTGGATTTTGTTGTGCATAATTCTGTTACTGATGATAATGGTCGTTACATTGTTTTAGATGTATCAATTTTTTCACAAAGAAAGAGTTTTGCCTGTTTGTATGGTTATAATACAGATGAACCTGCATTCTTTGATATAATAATGCAGAACATTTTATCCTTTAAAAACACAAGTGTTTTATTATGTGGTGACTGGAATGTTGTTTTAGATAAATTTATGGATACATATAATATCAAACATAATAGAAACCCTAACTCCCGTAAAAAACTTGATGAAATCATTGATGTTTTTGAACTATTGATCCTTGGCGTACATGCTATCCAGAAGATAGGAAATATACTTGGCGTCAGTCCTCACCTATAAAACAAAGTCGTTTAGATTATTTTTTAATTTCAGAAGACCTTTTTTCACTAATGAAAAATACTAAAATTATACCAGGTTATAGAACTGACCACTCAGCAATTATTTTCACCTTCTCAGCTTGTTTAGAGAAACGGGGCAAAAGTTACTGGAAATTTAACTCTCAATTACTCAGAGATGCAGATTATATACAAAAGGTTAAATTATGCATTAAGGATACTATTTTGGAATACTATCTGTCAGGTGATATGGAAGATCTTCTTTCTGTTGATTTGTCATGTAATGATCAAACATTTTTTGAAATATTGAAAATGAAGATTAGATCTTTGTCCATAAATTACAGCATAAATAAATCCAAGGAGGAAAAAAATTTCACCCTCAAACTTGAAAATAATATTTTACATTTAGAAACTATTATGAACCATTCTCCAAATGAGGAGGTTCAAAAATCTTTACTTGATAAAAAACTTGAACTAGAAAATTGTCGACAAAAGAAGGTTGAAGGTTTGCTGCTTAGATCCCGCTCTTACTGGCATGAGAATGGTGAAAAATGTTCAAATTATTTTTGTAAATTAGAAAAGAAAAATTTTATAAAGAAAACAATAACAGAACTAATAGATGATAAAGGTCAACATATATCAGAGCAATCAAAAATTCTAACGGAACAACAAAATTTTTATAGAAATTTATACTCAAGCAAAAAATTAGATTGTGATGATTCATCATTTTTTAATCATAACATTAAGCTCACAGAAGAACAAAGAGATTTTTGTGAGGGAAATTTAACTTTTAAAGAGTGTGCTGATTCGTTAAAATTTATGACAAATGGTAAAAGTCCAGGTTCTGATGGGTACACAGTAGACTTTTATAAATTTTTTTGGAAAGATATTGGTCCTTTCATCTTTCGGTCTCTTCATTTTGGATACGAGGTTGGAAAATTTTCTGATTTTCAGTATCAAAGTATAATTACATGCATTCCTAAGGAGGGGAAAGACAGACAGTATATAAGTAACTGGCGTCCTATTAGTCTTTTGAATACTGATATGAAAATAGCTTCTGCTGTTATAGCTAATAGACTTAAACCAGTTTTACCATTTGTCATAAGTGATACACAAAAAGGTTTCATCAAAGATAGATTTATGGGTGAGAACACACGCCTTTTATATGATTTAATGCACTATCTTGAAGAAAATAATAAGACAGGTCTTTTATTACTTGTTGATTTTGAAAAGGCCTTTGATTCCTTAGAATGGTTATTTTTAAAAAATTCTTTAAAAAGTTTTAATTTTGGGCCTTCAGTTTGTAAATGGTTTGAAACTTTATACTCAGGGGCATCAAGTTGTGTTATAAATAATGGACATACTTCTAAGTTTTTTCAATTGGAAAGAGGCTGCAGACAAGGAGATCCTCTTTCACCCTATTTATTTATAATTGGTGTTGAATTACTATCTTTAAAATTAAAAGATAATCCTGAAATAAGGGGAATAACTGTAAATGATAATGAATCACTTTTAAGCCAGTATGCAGATGACACATTCCTTATGTTAGATGGAAGGGAAATATCGTTGAGGGAAACACTTTCATGTTTTGAATCTTTTTATAAAATTTCAGGTTTAAAAATAAATGCTTCAAAGACAAAAGCACTATGGGTTGGAAACAAAAAGTATTCAGATATGATTCTTTGTCCTGACTTAAAACTTCATTGGTCACATTCAAATTTTAAACTTTTGGGGATTGAATTTTCTTTAGATTTAAACTGTATCACAGAAATTAATTTTGCCAAGAAGATTAAAGAAGTCTCTGCAATCCTGAAGAACTGGCAACATCGTAAACTAACATTATTGAGGAAAATTACAGTAGTTACTGTAAATTCAGAAATTATTGCGTGCATTTATTATTGCGATTTTGTCATTTTAGACTTAAATGCGATTTTAATTTTTACGAGTTTGAGAAAAATCCTGTTTAGTTCATATAAAATATTTCAAAATGCGAGTTTAAATTATTGCGTTTACAACTCTGTCGCATTTGTCGCAATAATAAAAACCTCGCAATAATTTCTGAATTTACAGTAAATCACTTGCTCTTTCGAAATTGGTACACTTAATGACTGCATTGCCAAACCTATCACAATCCAGGTTAACAGAGCTCACTTCATTATTTTATAATTTTATATGGAGTGGAAAACCAGACAGAATTAAGCGTAACACACTTATTGGTGATATTTCACAAGGTGGACTTAATATGGTACATCTTCATTCCTTTAATATCTATTTAAAAATTAGTTGGATAAAAAGACTGATGTCAAACCCAGTTGGTGGCTGGCAGCAGTTGTTACTGGCAGACCTTATACAGTATGGGGGTGAAAGGTTTTACATCTACAGAGAGAAAAGCTGATTGAGATTTCTAAAAAATGTAAAAATCCTTTCTGGAAGGATGTTTTACTATGCTTTTCTATCACAAAACCTAATACTGAGAATTCTGTCAGTGACATTTTATCATTAGATATTTTGAACTTTTCTTCTTTGGATGATTTCCCATATTATATTCAATGGAAACAAGGAGGTGTGCAGTCAGTAAGTGACCTAATTAATAAAGAAAATATGATTTTTTATAAATTTGAGCAATTTCAAGAAAGAGTAAAAATCAACAATTTTATCAAATATCATGGTCTGATTTCAAGAATCCCTCAGACTATGAAAAAATACCTTAAAGAGAACTGTTTAAAGCAAGATTTGGATAAGCCTGATAATGGTGATATTTTTTTAAAGAGAATTATAGGTAATGTGAAAGCCAAATTTGTATATAAAAATTTAGTAAATAAAGTTATTGAACTACCAACAGTCAAGTTTTCGAAATGGGAAGAACTGTTGATTATTGATACAACAGAATGGTCAGAATATTTCAGGATAACCAAAAAATCATGTAGAGATGTTTATTTAAGAACTTTTCAATACAAATTTTTGCATAGAATCATAGCAACTAATACCTTTTTATACAAAATTAAATTAAAAGACACCAAGATGTGTACTTTTTGTAAACTTGGTGAAGAAACCATTGAACACCTTTTTTTTTAATGCCCAATAACTTTTCAATTGTGGCAGTCTTTTTCAAATGCAGTAAAACTTTTTTTTGTAAACTTTGTTCTTAACAAAGAGAATGTGTTTCTTGGTTGCAAACATGAAAGTTTATTACTGAATCTGTTAGTCATAATTACAAAAAACTATATATACAAATGTAAATTAAATGAAACAAAACCAAATATGGTTGGGTTAAAGAATAGAATAAAGAAATACCAATTTCTTGAATATTATATTGCAAAGAAAAATAATAGAGTCCAAGTGTGTGAAAAATTTTGGTCTCCTTTACATGTAATATTTAATTAATTATTGTTTCATATAAGTGAGAGAATAAAATATCTATATATCATGAGCAAATATTTAGCCTTGAGTTTTTTTTGTTTTTTTTGTTTTTTCTTTAAAATATTTTGTTTTTAAAATATAAGTCAAGATACATCATGTACATATTGTAGCAAAGCAAATGAGTGAAGAGTATTTGTATTGTATGAGAGAAAGTCAGAGAGCGAGAGAATATAATGAAATAAAATTTATATGTAACCTTAAATACTACATGTATAATTATAAAAATCAACTTGTCAGTGATATATATTGTATACTGAATTATTTTTTATATGTAACCCCTTGATACCCTTGTCAGGTGGTAGTGTAGGGGTACATGTATATTAAATCCTGACTATTGAAAAACAAATAAAAGATAAAAAAAAAGAAAAAAAAAGAAAAAAAAAGAAAAAGTAAGCAAATGTGAAAGAATGAAAGTGTAAATTGATTCTAAAAGAAAAAAATCAATATATCAAATTATTTAACAACTGCTATGACAAGTTTAATTAACAAATGGGAAAGCATGGAAAATATCTTTTTTTTTTTTAAACACTTATTACACACCTGCTCACCTGAACATTCATGATCTATGTTGATTGTTTATCAAGGTCACTATCGGTAAACACTGGCACCAAACACCAAAAGTTAATTAGCAGCCAAAGTTTTCAATTATCAATCATGGAATAAAATATTTTTTGTTGATTTTACGTAACTGATTTGAAATAAATGTAAAAAAAAAAAAAAGCACAGATGACTTAGTTAAGTATATATGCTTGCTTACGTTCAATAATTTTCTGAACATTATAATCACCAAAAACCTGTTTCATATGACTTTAAGCAATATGTAAGTTATCATTGGAAAAGCTAAAAAATGCACACTTTAAGGGATATAAGACCTTAATCATATATGTCAATCTACCAAAAATATACCTATACCACATCTTCTTATTTTTTTACTAACCTGAATTTTATAACCCATAGATATATTGTGATAGAAAGGTGTTTGCTATCTGTACAGACACTAACATTTAAATGTCACTGCATGGTTGCAAAAACTAATTCAAACTGTTTTAAAGTAAGAAAATGGCATTTCAAAAATATAATTGCAGTCAACTTAACCACAAAATAAACAAACTTAGAGAAATGCATAAAAATTTGTAAAGGATTGTCTGTGTAAAAGTGGAATGTTGACTGTTTATCAGTAAAATACAGACTTTTTTTGAAACTCAAACTTTTTTCTTTCCATGCTATTTCTTCATCTTGAAGATTAATTTAGCTTCTGTCCAAGTTTCATAACAATCCATGAAGGTTTACAAACTTATCATGTCAAAAAAATTTAATCCCATACTGTATGTAGGAAGGTTAAGATGGCTGCCAATGGAGTAGTGAGTTGATTTTCAGCTCTGCAGTTTTTGGCAATTTAAAGCTGGTTTTTGAAGGAATTTATTAATGGAAATCATATCATGATGTTTGGAATTTGATGAACTTTACAGGAATATGATTTTCTTCACATTTTGTTGAAAGATGGATTTACTATAGTGGAATTATATATTTTGGATTGGAAAAGTATTTGTGATTTATTGATTTTTCTGAGCTGTGTTGTCTGTATTACAACCATGCCTGGGGATAATAAAAGTGTAAAAACTGTACAAACTATGTTAGCAGCTAAAAAGCCTGGGAGCAATGATTCTTCTAAAGACTCTACAAAGGAAAAACCACCCAAGCAGAACAAACGATCCCATTCAGATGTTGCAAATGAGAGTGTAGAAGGAACTGACTTGACTGGTATTCAAAATGATTTAAGTGAAATTAAAAAATCTCTTCAGGGTACAGTTACAAAGACTGATCTTAATAGTGCTATGGTTAATTTAGTACAACAAAAGGACTTAAAAAGTTTAGTTAGTGACATTGTCCAGAAATTATTAGATCATTTTGAAGAGAAGATCACCAGTAAGTTTGAGTGTAAAATAAGGGAGGCAACTGGAAAACTTGATGATAAGTTAGATACATTGATGATAGAGAATGAGAATCTGAGGGAAGGAATCAGGGCAAAAGATAAAGTTATTGATAACTTAGTGGAAAAGGTTGGTGACATTAATAACAGATCTATTGATGCAATGAAGTTAGCCAATTACAATGAGCAATACAGTCGTAAACATAACATAAGAATGCTAAACTTTCCTGAAAAAAGGGGTGAGAACTTGAAAAAAGCCTTTGTTGAACTAGTAAATAGTGACCTAAATGTAAATATTGAGCCCAGTGATGTGCTAGCCATCCACAGAATACCTGGAAAAGAAGGTTACCAGAAGCCTGTTATCGTGAAGGTTAGAAACACTGACACTAAAATACGGATAATGCGACAAAAAAGATCCTTGAAAAATGAACTTAAATTTCATGATGATATAACACAACGCAATATTGGACTTATGGCAAGACTTAAGAACACTGAAAAATTTGAAAATGTATGGTTTTACAACTGTAACGTGTATGCCAAAACTGAAACTAGTAGCAGAATAAGATTTGACCTGTTTGACAATGTAGATGAAAAAATGAAAAAGAAATTGAAAGAGGGAACTTAATCAATCTTGTTTTGTCAGTTACATCATTTAATTTATTTTTGAATAATGTCCAGCTTTTTATTAATTTCAATAGATAGATATAAATGTAAAAGATAATTGCTGAAGTAAAAAGTGTTTTATATCAGTTGTGAATTACATATTCCTATATAAATAGTTAAGAATATAAGAGATATTCATTCTTGATAAATTTGTTTAAAATAAATTATACTGTCACTATACAGTAAAGGGGAAATAACTCTAACATTAATAATGATATAAATATTCAATTTTATCTCCCTTTTAAACATCTATTCCTTTGATAGATTTATGTATAATTGTTACATGCCATACTGTAAATTAATTAATACATTCAATGTTGAATGAAGAAAATAATAAGCGACATCTTATGTTTGTATGTGTGTATGTTTGTGTATGTCAAATTTGTTACAATTGTATATTTGTACTTATGAACTTACTTATATGGTTTATAAAACATCCCTTCATCTATAATCATGGATAATAATGTAACGATATTATCAATGAATGTGAGGGGACTTTTCTCAAATTCCAAAAAGAGGGCAGATGTATTTGATTGGGCTAAGAGTAAAAATACTTCGATAGTGTGTTTCCAGGAAACTCATAGTAAAAAAGACATTGAAAAAAACTGGGAGGATGAATGGGGAAGCACATGTTTTTTCAGTCATAAAGACAGTAAAAGTGCAGGTGTCTCTGTTATGTTTAAAAAGGGTCTGGATTTTGTTGTGCATAATTCTGTTACTGATGATAATGGTCGTTACATTGTTTTAGATGTATCAATTTTTTCACAAAGAAAGAGTTTTGCCTGTTTGTATGGTTATAATACAGATGAACCTGCATTCTTTGATATAATAATGCAGAACATTTTATCCTTTAAAAACACAAGTGTTTTATTATGTGGTGACTGGAATGTTGTTTTAGATAAATTTATGGATACATATAATATCAAACATAATAGAAACCCTAACTCCCGTAAAAAACTTGATGAAATCATTGATGTTTTTGAACTACTTGATCCTTGGCGTACATGCTATCCAGAAGATAGGAAATATACTTGGCGTCAGTCCTCACCTATAAAACAAAGTCGTTTAGATTATTTTTTAATTTCAGAAGACCTTTTTTCACTAATGAAAAATACTAAAATTATACCAGGTTATAGAACTGACCACTCAGCAATTATTTTCACCTTCTCAGCTTGTTTAGAGAAACGGGGCAAAAGTTACTGGAAATTTAACTCTCAATTACTCAGAGATGCAGATTATATACAAAAGGTTAAATTATGCATTAAGGATACTATTTTGGAATACTATCTGTCAGGTGATATGGAAGATCTTCTTTCTGTTGATTTGTCATGTAATGATCAAACATTTTTTGAAATATTGAAAATGAAGATTAGATCTTTGTCCATAAATTACAGCATAAATAAATCCAAGGAGGAAAAAAATTTCACCCTCAAACTTGAAAATAATATTTTACATTTAGAAACTATTATGAACCATTCTCCAAATGAGGAGGTTCAAAAATCTTTACTTGATAAAAAACTTGAACTAGAAAATTGTCGACAAAAGAAGGTTGAAGGTTTGCTGCTTAGATCCCGCTCTTACTGGCATGAGAATGGTGAAAAATGTTCAAATTATTTTTGTAAATTAGAAAAGAAAAATTTTATAAAGAAAACAATAACAGAACTAATAGATGATAAAGGTCAACATATATCAGAGCAATCAAAAATTCTAACGGAACAACAAAATTTTTATAGAAATTTATACTCAAGCAAAAAATTAGATTGTGATGATTCATCATTTTTTAATCATAACATTAAGCTCACAGAAGAACAAAGAGATTTTTGTGAGGGAAATTTAACTTTTAAAGAGTGTGCTGATTCGTTAAAATTTATGACAAATGGTAAAAGTCCAGGTTCTGATGGGTACACAGTAGACTTTTATAAATTTTTTTGGAAAGATATTGGTCCTTTCATCTTTCGGTCTCTTCATTTTGGATACGAGGTTGGAAAATTTTCTGATTTTCAGTATCAAAGTATAATTACATGCATTCCTAAGGAGGGGAAAGACAGACAGTATATAAGTAACTGGCGTCCTATTAGTCTTTTGAATACTGATATGAAAATAGCTTCTGCTGTTATAGCTAATAGACTTAAACCAGTTTTACCATTTGTCATAAGTGATACACAAAAAGGTTTCATCAAAGATAGATTTATGGGTGAGAACACACGCCTTTTATATGATTTAATGCACTATCTTGAAGAAAATAATAAGACAGGTCTTTTATTACTTGTTGATTTTGAAAAGGCCTTTGATTCCTTAGAATGGTTATTTTTAAAAAATTCTTTAAAAAGTTTTAATTTTGGGCCTTCAGTTTGTAAATGGTTTGAAACTTTATACTCAGGGGCATCAAGTTGTGTTATAAATAATGGACATACTTCTAAGTTTTTTCAATTGGAAAGAGGCTGCAGACAAGGAGATCCTCTTTCACCCTATTTATTTATAATTGGTGTTGAATTACTATCTTTAAAATTAAAAGATAATCCTGAAATAAGGGGAATAACTGTAAATGATAATGAATCACTTTTAAGCCAGTATGCAGATGACACATTCCTTATGTTAGATGGAAGGGAAATATCGTTGAGGGAAACACTTTCATGTTTTGAATCTTTTTATAAAATTTCAGGTTTAAAAATAAATGCTTCAAAGACAAAAGCACTATGGGTTGGAAACAAAAAGTATTCAGATATGATTCTTTGTCCTGACTTAAAACTTCATTGGTCACATTCAAATT